GGGGGTGGGGGGCAGCTGGCAGCCTGGGGGTGGTGCATGGGGGCAGCTGTGTTGCCTGCTTCCTTGCAGCCTGAAGAGGCCCTGGCAGGGGCAGGTGGAACGAGTTCCCTGTCGTGTTTTCCCCCTCCTCCCTTGGGCCTGGCCCCGGCGGAGGCTCCCGTGGGTGCTGCTCAGGGCTGGGGCCACCCCCCGCCCCTGCCTGACTGGAGGAGCTGAGACCTGTTTGTGTCGGCACCTCCCTGCTCCTCACAGATGCCCGGTTCTCCCACCTCCGCACCTGCACTCCGGTCCCCCGGCCCTGGGCTTCCACACGTGCAGCCCCGAGCTCTGCATCTTTGGGGCAGATCCAGGCTGGGAGGTTGAGCCTGGCACAGCTCCGTCCCCTTGTGACGGGGGCTGCTGGGCAGGGAGGTGGGGGTATTGATGGTGTGGGATTACCGCTCCTTCCACTTCCGCAGGCAGCTGCTTGGGGGCCTTGAAGTGGTAATTATTTCCCTCTGGGTGGCCTCCGGTTTGGAGCTCAGCCCCCACAAGGCAGCTGGCAGCTTGGCTTCAGGTGCCGGATGGGGCTGGGATGCAGCGAGGTAGGGGCTGGAGACCTGGGCAGAGGCGGGTACCTGCAATCAAGTGACTCATTTTTGTGGGGGGGTCAGAGATGCTTCTTCCTGGCAGCTGTGGGCACTGATGCACGGCTTCCTGGCTGTCCTGCGTGGCACAGTTCCTCCCTACCTGATCTCCTTGGCTTGAGCTGCCTCTTTCTAGCAATGGGGAAGCACTCGTGGAGCTGCTGTCCCTGGACTTCTGCCCAGCCACAGCCTCCAGAGGCACCGGGTGATCCCTGCTGGAAGTCTTGTCACAACCTAGACCAGGCTGGGGAGGCTTAGTTCGGAGGATAAAGTTGGTTTAGGTTGGATCTCAGGGAAAACTTAACTGCTGGAGCAGGACGGCAGCGGGAGAGAGGGCAGGAGAGCTAGGGACTCTCCATCACTGGAGGGTTCAAGGCTCTTACAATCATCGGTTGGGGCTGATGGGGGTGTAGCGATGCCTCTTCTACTGTGGAGATTTCCCAGGCTTCAGGCGGGGCAGTGCTGGCTGCCCCCGCCCTGCTTCTGCCACTTGAGGGGGGGGGCGGGGTTAAGCCTTCCCCAGAGGCACTGGGTGTTGGCTGCAGCCAGGCTGGAGGTTGTAATTGCTCTGTGTGTGTGCTGCTGGGACCACAGCCGCTGGCTACAGGGTCTTGCCTCCTCTTGGGGTCAGGGCAAGACCCTGTGGGAAGGGCAAAAGGGGGAGGCTGGAATCAGCTTTGGGAAGTTCGTATCTCCCCCAGCATCCGCACCAGCTGTGCCTTCGAGGTGCCAGCTCACATCTTGGTGGGAAAGCTGAGGCAGTTGGAGAGTATCACTGCAGCCAGCTTTGTACCATGTGCTGACCAAGACCCCAAGGGTAGGGACAGGGCTGTCTGGAGCCCAGTGGTCCCTGGGAGACTTCCCGGCTGGGCTAATTCATCCCCTTCTCCCTCCCTCTCAGGTGAACGAGTTAAAGGAGAAAGGCAACAAAGCGCTGAGCGCGGGGAACATCGCTGAGGCCATCAAACACTATTCAGAGGCCATCAAGCTAGATGCCAAGAACCACGTGCTCTACAGCAACCGGTCGGCAGCCTACGCCAAGAAGGGGGAGTATCAGAGAGCGCTGGAGGATGCCTGCAAGACAGTGGAGCTCAAGCCAGAGTGGGGCAAGGTGAAGCGGGGGGACAGACCTAGCTGTATTGGAGGCTGGGTCATTCCCCAATGGCCCCAGTCATCCGTGCCTGGGTGGAGAGTCCCATGGTAACCAGGGTGACTTCCAGCTGGGGCACAACTCCTACACATCATAGGACAGTGATTCCTAACTGCTTTTTTCCTCCTACCACTGCTTAGATGTAGGCATGGGTGGGCTGTGAAGACACCTTGGTTCCATTACCAGCACCAGGAAGGGTCCAATAGGGTAAAACAGCCAGGTGCTGGAGTTCCTCAAAGCCCTTTCAAGCATGTAGTGGGATGCCTCATTAGCATCGTTAGGCAGCTCGCAGGGGAAACCCAGGGTTGTCCAACAGGAATGCATAGTGTTCAAAATGTCCTGAGCTGTCGTGATGGGAGGCCTTTGCAAGAAAAGAGTTGCTCTGTTGTTTTTTCTGTAGTCAAGAAAGAGAAAGCTAAGAGCTGGGATTCTCCAATGGGGGTTGGAAATCTGGAGGGGGTGGGAAGCATGCTGGGAGTCTGTAGTGGGGCTGGGGTGGCCATGAGTCTGTGGGCTGGGGAAGGCAGGCTGGCTGTGACGGGGGTCAGGGGTGTTGCATCTAGTCCATACCGGTGCTCTAGACAAGACCAGCCGTGGCTAAACCAGCCCAGCTGTCTGAGGACAGAGACTTTCCTTCTTCCCCCACTCAGAGCCAGAAAATCCTCCCACATTCCCAGCCTCAGTTTCCCCTGCTGCCATCTCTGTCCTTGTCCTGTCCCATGTGGCTACCGGGAGTCATCTCTCTCAGTCTTCCTGCTGCAGGGATAAGCCTCCTTCAGCCTTCTCTTCTCCAGACTCCCATCATCCCAGTCCTTCCAGCCTGTTCCCAGGCCTGTATCCCAGACCCCTGATGAGGTTTGTCACTTTCTGCTGGGCTCTTTCTAATCTGTCCTCATCTTTCTGGGGCCCTAGCCTAAACTCACTTCTCCATGAGAAGCCTCACCAGTGCTGAATAGAGCAAGAAAGGCTCTTACAATCATAGCTGGAAGGTTGAGGTCTTAGGCATCTGGGGCTCCTATACATGTGCAGAGAAGCTTCTCCGATGCGCTGTAATTACAGACTGAAGCATCCAGCTTGTTTGATGACCTTTTAGTTAAAGTGCCCCCATGGCAATTTTTCAGTGTGGGGATGCTGATACACATGACGCCTCAGGCACTTTAATTAATTAGAGTGGCTCTTGGAGCATGTGTATAAGCACCTCTGATGTCCTGTTGTAACAACAGCAGCACCTAATTACTGTAATTCTTTGCATATAATGTGCCCTGCAGTACAACATGCACGCTGTTTTTGGAAAAGCAGAATGAAGAAAGATTCTTTTTTTCTCTCCAAAGTTCCGGCTATCTAGGGCAGGGACAATCTTTGACTGGCTTGCCCCTCCCTTTTTTTCTGAACAAAAGCTGAAATCTTAGCTGCTGTTGGGAGACTGGTCTCCATGGGTAGATCTAGTGTTTGGAAAAGAGTTGCAGTCTCCAGGGCTGTGAAATAGGAGGGGGGAAGAGTAGGAGCAGACAGTAAGACTGCCGAGAGAAAAGCTTAGCTTGATTAGTGGTACACTGAGATTATTAAGAAACTATCGCTACCACCTGTGGAGTGAAGAGCAATGAGCTGTGAAGTCAATAGACTCCATCAGGTGCCTGAATAGAAATGTTACAGCTGCTGTAAGTGGGAGTCAAACCTGAGGGGCTTCTACCCTGGGCAGAAAATTAGCTTCTCTGCTTAATATACACATCTCAAGGGGGGCTGGTTTTATGGGTGAAAGGAGTGTGTTGTTTGCAAAACGTTAATGCTTTCTGTACCACATGGCAGAGAAGTCAGCTTCCTTCTTTAGAGACTCGCCCCCAGTTTAGGGGGCTCATTTAATTTGGGGAGGAGGGGTGCATTTGATACACAAATAATTACTGTACCTTGGGGTGGATTTGGCCCCATGGTTGCTCTGGGTATCTGGGGTGGAGCCAGGACTTGAACTAGGAGTTACCAGGGAGCTGCTCTCACAAGCAGCCTCAAGCTCACATCTCTGTAGCCAGAGCTAAATCTCTGTGGCCAGGGGCTCTCTCCGGCAGCCATGCCCACTGGATGCCTGGGTTCCCCATGGATGGTTGCAGAGCTGGGCTCCCATGGTGGGAGCCAGAGGCTCCAGGTGCGGCTCCATGACACCCCCTTCCCTCTCCCCTGGCAGGGCTACTCGCGGAAGGCAGCAGCCTTGGAGTTCCTGAACCGATTTGAGGAGGCCAAGCGGACGTATGAGGAGGGGCTGAAGCATGAGCCAGGCAACTCACAGCTGAAGGAGGGACTCCAGAACATGGAGGCCAGGCTGGCAGGTGCGGGGCAGGGCCAGGCAGGGGGTGGCCAACATGTGATGGGGGTGTCACAGGGCAGATCTGCCTGGGGGGCACAGAGGAGAAAGCAGTGATGGCTCAGGCAGGGAGTCCACTGGCAGATAGGGCAGAGAGCAGAGCAGTAGATTGGGCAGGGAGTAGAGGGGTAGTAGAGCAGGGAGGAGAGAACAGAGCAACAAATCAGGCAGAATGCAGAGCAATGGATCCAGCAGGGAATACAGCAGCAAATAGGACAGAGAGAAGAGCTAAGCAGTGGGGAGGGGGCACAGCAACAGAGCAAAGAACAGAACAATGGATTGGATCTGAAAGGGAATCAGTGATGGGGCTGGACCCTCTGGCATCCATGGGGGTGTACCCCCCCCCCCCCCCCCCCCGCTGCGGTTGAGGTGTCTGCACCCACCCTTGGAGTTCTGTGGGGAGCGCACAGGCACTTGAGCCCTGGTGTGACCTCCCCACCCATCTCCCCCTGCAGAGAGGAAGCTGATGAACCCCTTCAGTGTGCCCAACCTGTACCAGAAGCTGGAGAGCGATCCCCGCACTCGGGCCCTGCTCAGTGACCCCAGCTACAAGGAGCTAATTGAGCAGCTCCGGAACAAGCCCTCCGACCTGGGCACGTAAGTTGGGCCCTGCCTGGATGGCTGGAGGTGTGCGGGAGCATCTGGGTGACTGGGCACCATGCCTTTTGCAGGGGCAGGGACTGTCAGATCAGCCTGGACTCGGCTATGCCCAGAAACCAGCCTGATGGGCATGCACACGTGTTCACTAGTGCACAGATGTATGACTGGCTTGTGCAGCAGGCTAGGAATGCTCATGATGTTTGTATACATGCATTCACTCATGGATGGACATGTACATCCACATTTTGGGTTGGAGGACAGGCTCCTGAGATGTGTACACACGTGTTCGCTAGTGTCTGGATGTGTGTGTCCATGTGTCAGCTTGGAGGGCAAGATGGGAACATTCTTAGGGTGCGTATGTACATGTGTTCACTAGTGTGTGGATGTGTTCCTCTGTAGCCTAGCTTGTGAAGTAGGCTGGGAACACTCTCCATGCATGTGCATACACATGTTCACTAGTGCATGCATGTATGCATCCAGGTTCCAGCTTGGATAGCAGGCTAAGAATGTTCCTGGCATGTGCACACAGGTGTGCTCACTAGCTCACAGATGTGTCCACCCCCAGTATAGATTGTGCAACCGGTTTAGAACACTCCCGTGTGTGTTTGCTAATGCATAGATAAGTGCATCCACAGTCTGGTGTCTGTAGCAGTCCGGGAACATACCTGAAGTGTTTGCATACATGTGCTCCCTAGCATGTAGACATGTTCCTCCGTGTGTCAGCTTGGAGAGCAGGCGAGGAGTGTGTGCGCACACATTTGCTAGTGCCCTGGATGTGTACCTGGCATGTGCAGCAGGTTGGAAACACTCCCAGTGCATGTGTGCACACACGTTGACTAGTGGATGCATGTATGTATCCATAGCTTGGCTTGTGTAGCAGGCTGAGAGCACTTGCATGTGTGTACACATGTTCACTAATGCACAGACATGTACACTCGCATCTTGGTTTGGAGGGCAGCCTAGGAATACTCGTGGGGCGTATATACAAACACATTCGTTAATGTGCAGTTGTGTGTCCACGTGTCAGCTTGGAGGCCAAGCTAGGAATGCTCCTGGAATGCATGTGCACGCATGTTAATTAGTGCATGGATGTGTGTCTCTGGCTTGTGAAGTAAGCTGGGAACACCCACTGTGCATGTGCACACGTGTGCTCACTAGTACGTGCATGCGTGCAGCTGTGTTCCAGCTTGGCTATCAGGCTAGAAGTGCTCCTGGGGTTTGTATGCACACATGTTCGCTAGCATCCTGGATGTGTGCCTAGCATGTGCAGTAGGCAGGGAACACTCCTGGTATACGTGCGCAGATGTTCACTAGTCCAATGGTTCTTGCCCTTTTCTGTACCAGGACCCATCTGTAAACATTGGTGGCCAGTCGCAACCCCATAAATGGTTTAAACAGAAAATAGCCCCCTTGCCCTGCCTGTGCCTTTCAGTCCCAACCCCCAGCCCTCCATTGTGTGGGGCACTGGGGTGCACATGCCCCCCCAGATTTGGAGCCTGGCCAGATTGGCACAGGCAGGAGCCACCTATGCAGCCCAGTGGGCAGGACCTGGCATGGGAGGACAGAGTGGGGTGGCAAGAATCATTGCTGCCGCCACCACCGAAGCACCTGCACTGGCAGCACGGGGAAGAGGGGGCCACACTACTCTCGCCTCCTCCTGTCACCAGCCACTTGCATGCTGAGCTGCGGCTCTGCCCAGCCACCACTCTCCCTCAGGCCACCCATGCTGCCCGCCATCCCGCTTCCTCTCGGATAGAGCCTGTAGCCTGAGGGGAGCCACCACATGGTGGTGGCCAGGCCATGGTGGAGGGATAGAGCCCAGCAGTTGAGCAGCTGGCAGCAGGAGGAGGTGAGGGCAGTGCATCCCCCTCGGTCCATTGCTCCTTGGGCTGCTGGCCGTGCAGCTGGCACTGGGGTCCCAGCAGTGGTGGTGGCAACAATGCGTCTTGCTGCTCCGCTCCACCCTCCCTCCCGGCTGAATCCCATGTGTCTGGCCACAGAGGTGGCTCCTGCCTGTGCCAGCCCATGGTTTTTCTTCTTTAAAGGAGAATCCACATTTAAAGCTTGTCTATGACCCTTTCATATATTCTTGCAACCCGCTTTTGGGCTGTGACCCACAGGTTGAGAAACGCTGCACTAGTGCATGGATGTTAGCTCATGCAATAGGTTTGGAACATCCCCGTGTGTGCACACTTGTTCACTAATGTGCAGAATAGGTGCATCCACAGCCTGACTTATTCAGCAGGCTGCGAACACTCACAGTGCATGTATGCACATGTGTTCACTAGCACGCACATGCATATGTATGCATGTGTTCGCTAGTGTGCCCACGTGTCAGCTTGGAGAGCAGGCTAGGAGTGCTTGTGGGGTATGCATACACGCATGTTCACTAGTGCACGGATGTGTGTGTCCCAGCCAGGCTTGTGCAGCCAGTCAAGAACACTGCTGTTGTGTGTGCGCACGTGTTCACTAGTGCATGAACGTGTGCATCCACAGTGTAGCTTAAGCGATAGGTTTAGAGCACTCCCAGCACACATTTGCACATGTGCTCACTAGGGCACAGATGGCTGCTCTAGGCACCTGTGCATATGCGCACTGGTGCTCCGGATATGTGCTTGTACAGCAGGTGGGGAATGATTTTGGCGAGTGTGAGCTCGCGTGTCCACTTGTGGCCTGTGCATCCCCCTAAGACCAGCACAGCTGTGTATTGTTATTCATGTGCTCCCCCTGCACGGATGCTGCTAATATCTGCATGGAGAAGCACCAGGGGCCATGGGTGGGTGTGAAGGCACGTGTCCACTTGCAGTCCCCCAAAGCCAAGAGACCCCCTTTCCACCTCCCCTGTTCAGGAACACTAATCCCTGCCCCCGGCTGTTGTGGTCCCTGCTGTCTTTTCTTGGTGGCCATGGGTGATGCAGGTGTCTGGGGCTAGCACATCCATGTTAATGAGCCTGTGTCCTCCTGCACAGGAAGCTGCAGGACCCACGAGTGATGACCACACTGAGCGTGCTGCTGGGGGTGGACCTGAGTGCCGGGGATGAGGAGGATGAGGCCATGTCCCCGCCTCCACCTCCCCCACCCAAGAAGGAGCCCAAGCCCGAGCCCATGGAGGAGGATCTGCCTGAGAACAAGAAGCAGGTGAGCAGCCCCAGAGATGGCTGCGTCACAGCCCAGGGCCCAGATACAGTAGCTTCTGTACTGCCTCCCCAGAGCTCTGGTGGGGGTGGGCGGAAGGGTGTGAGGCCTAGGGGCATATAGGCACATCCAAGCTGCTGGCATTCACCCACACAGCCTCAGTGCTTGCCGTGATTGCTGGGCTGGAAATGGCTGTCGATGCCTAGTGGATGGAGGATGCTGAGCCCTGACTTCCTGGAAGCTGTGGGAGGGGTGTATGGATATGCCAGCAATATAGCACCTGTGGGGGTGGGAACCCTGGTGCCAGTAAGGGGGGGGCTTCTTCTGCTCTGGGGGGGATCCCAACTTGTTCTCCTGCTTGACAGGCCCTGAAGGAGAAGGAACTGGGGAACGAGGCCTACAAGAAGAAGGACTTTGAGACAGCATTGGCACACTATGACAAGGCCAAAGACCTGGACCCTACCAACATGACATATATCACCAACCAGGCGGGTGAGGCACCTGCGTGGCTGGGTCTGGGAAGGGGCAGGACGAGCAGTAGGGAGCAGCATACACCCCTGGGAGAATCAGGGTGGGGGTTATGTGAGCCGGACTGGTCCTTTCAGGGCCTTGGCTGCCTCTTGCCCAGCCATTGTTGGTGCCTTTCAGCTGGGGATAGCAGGCAGCACATTTCTGTGAACACAGAGATGACCCCAGAGCTCTATACATACAACATGCCATATTTTTCCCCTGAATTGGGGTGGGTGTAGTAAGGGAAGAAGCTGACTTTCTATCCCAAGATAGAAGCCCCCACCAGGCTTTGATTCCTTCTTGCAGTGGCTGTGGCATTTCTATTCAGGTAGTTGAGGGGAATACTAGAGCAGTGGAGCTGGAAGGGAGCTCCAAAGGCTACATCTAGTCCAACCCCTGCCAAGGCAGGATCAGCCCTGTCCAAGCCAGCCCAGACAATTCCAGCAGACTACTGTCAGGACACAGCACCAGACGTCATATCCCAGCCTGCCCCAGGGAAGGCAGGAGGATTGCAACACCCAATGTCTTGCTTCTATGAAACATTGTCAGTACACGCTCCAGCGATTCCTCGCTTCAAAGGAAGATGCCACCCCCACCCGTCTGTACCAATCTCAGCAGCTGGGAAAATTCCTTCCTGACCCCTAATAAGGGCATTGGTCTGACCCTGAGCAGAGGGGCAAGACTCTCTATCCAGGAACCTCTGGCTTTGGTCCCAGCAGGAGCATTGGCACAGCCTAGTCCCCATCCCCAACCTGGCTGCAGCCAACACCCAGCACCTCTGGGGGAGGCTTAAAACCCCCTGAACCATGGAGCAGAAAAGAGGAAGGGGGCAACCAGCCCAGAAGTCTGGGACATCCTCATAGTAGAGCACAGGCATCATGACACGTGGATCATCCCTGACCAGTGGCTGTCCAGCCTCTTGATCCCTCCAGTGATGGATGGTGCACAGCTCCCCTGGGCATTTATTCCACTTCACAGCTCCTTGTTCATCACCCTGCTCAGGATCAGGCCAATTCTACATTGGGGTCAGGAGGGAATCCCCCCCCATCAGATTGGTCTGGTCTAGGGGGGTTTTGCTTTTTTCTGTAGTGGGGACATGGCCTCTGCCTGGGATGTCTAGTGTTCATGAACGGTTGTTACAGCAGCAGGACATTGGCCACCGTGGTTCCCCCACCTTTCCCTGGGGGCAGGTTAGGGTGTGTTTGGTGCTGTGTCAGGGCTGATGGTCATTTGATGGAGAAGTTGGATGCTGGATTTGGCTGAGATAGTTTGGACAGGGCTGCTCCTACCTCAGGCAGGGGGTTGAATTAGGTGTGACCTATGGAGGTCCCTTCCAGCCCCACTTCTCTATCGTTTCTAGGTCACATCTAGTCCAATTGAGGTGGGGTCATGTGGAAGGGACCTCCAGAGGTCATTGTGATTCTGTGACTGCTGGAGGTCCCTTTCAGGTGATCCTGCTTTAGGTGGACTTGACTTAGAAATCAAAATCATACAGACGCTGGGTTGGAAGGGACCTCCAGAAGTCTCTTCAAGCCCGGCTTCTCTATGGTTTTTATGAGCCCCTGTGGAGTGAAGAGCAATGAGCCAGTGCTTGGTGCAGCTGGGGTCAAAGCAAGGGGACACAGACTCAGCTTCCCTATTTAATTGATGCACCCTGATTTTGGGGGAAATACCATGTGTTCTGGGTAACAACACACCTCTTCTCCCCACATGTGTCCATGCCTGGAGTTTCAAGGTGGGGTTGGCAGGGGAGGGGTCTTTATGCAGACTGGGTGCAGGGATCTGACCCATTTCTTCCCCTTGCCACAGCCGTGTACTTTGAGAAGAGTGACTACAACAAGTGCCGGGAGCTGTGCGAACAGGCCATCGAGGTGGGCAGGGAGAACCGGGAAGACTATCGCCAGATTGCCAAGTGAGTGCTGCGGGGTTTGCCCCAGGCAGGGGTGGGCTCTGGCCAGCCCATGGTGCCCCTGGTCATGGGCTGCCCCTCTTTCTCTGGGGGAGGGGACAGTATCTGAATACCAGCACAGCCCTTCCCTGCAGCCAGGAGGTGCTCCTGCCCCTTGTGCCCCCAGCCAGGGTTGGAGCAGGGCCTTGGACACACTGTCTTGTGCCAGCTGGGTCACCAGCATGGGTAGATATTGGTACTCCACCTCTGACCTAGCTGGGAGCCCAGATGCCTGTGTTCTCTACCCGCTCAATGGTGCCACCTACCTGCTCGCAGTCCATGAATTTCAAACTGGAATCTGATCCTAGCTTGGCCCTGGATACCTGGGTTTCCTCTCTAATCGGCCATGGCACCCACCTGCCAGTCACTGGTTTCAAACTGGCCTGCCTAGGCAGAGAGTGGTCCTAGCTTGGCCCCGGGCACCTGGATGCTCTCCTCCCCCCCCCCCCCCCCCAATCCCATGTGCTTGGCACCATTCCCTCCTGGCGGGTCCAGTACTGCCCCCCTGCGCACTGGAATTGGGTCCTAGAGGCCTCTTGCCACTGCCCTCTGCACGCCAGGATTGGGTTCTGGAAGCCTGGTGCTGCCTCTTCCCCCACGCTGGGTGGTGGGATTGGGTCCCAGGTGCCACCCCCTACTGCCCCGTGTGCCAGAATTGGGTTCCGGGAGTCCCCACATGCCAGTACCTGGGGGCCTGGTACTACCCCTTTGCACCCCCGACATGCAGAAATTGGGCCCTGTGGGCCCAGTACTACCCTTGCCTGCCCCCTATGCACTGGGATTGGATCCGGGGGACCTGGTGCCACCCCCTTGCACCCTCCATGCACTGGGATTGGATCCTGAGGGCCAGCATGGTCCCTCTTGGCCACTCTGTGCGCCAGGATTGAGTCCCGTGGGTCTGGCATCACTCGTCATGCACCAGGATTGGGTCCCAGGGGCCTAGCACTGCCAGTTCCCTCCCTCCCTCCCTCCCTCCCTCCCCCATGTGCCAGGATTGGGCCCTGGAGGCCCGGGACTGCCCCCACCCACCCTTCTGCATACTGGAATTGGGTCCTAGGAACCCAACACCACCCCTTCCTGGCTTTGTACACTGGGATCGTGCCTGCTGCGGCCTTCTTCCCTATCCCCAAACTTCCAGACCCATGAGGGGCCCTGGCGCCCAGATGATGGTGCTACGGGCCAAGGCTCAAGCACCCCTGGCGTAGACCCTTAGCAAGGAGAGAGGGTCACTAATGCCTGCAGAATGACGAGATTAGCAGGAGCTGGGGGGATTGTGAGCTGTGATGTCTAGGGATCCCCATGTTGCTGCCCATGCCAGTCAGCTTGAGCCCCTCTGCCCCAGGTGGTCCCGTAGGTCTAGGGGGGGAACCTGCCCACCCCCGATCCCGTCTGTTTCCCCCAGCTCACACTGGCTGCTGTCTGCCCCCTTGCCAGGGCCTATGCCCGCATTGGGAATTCCTACTTCAAGGAGGAGCGGTACAAGGAAGCCATCCAGTTCTACAACAAGTCCCTGGCGGAGCATCGCACCCCTGATGTGCTCAAGAAATGCCAGCAGGTATGGGGTTGGGGGGCTGCCTCTGTGGCCATCCCGGGGTGGGGTGGTCCTAGCCAGCCTCAGAGCTTGTGGGCAGCTGGTAGCAGGAGCTAGGACCTTTTTGGGGTTGCCTCCCTCAAACGGGGATGTCTGAGTTCTCTCCCAGCTCAGGTAGGGGAGTAGGGGGGGTTGAAGGAGGGCTTAGAGCAGGGAGAAACACCCGGGATGGCTGGGTTTTTATATATGGGAGGGGAGGAGGGGCTGGGGGTTAGAGCAGGGAGTGCTGGGAGCCCAGATGCCTGGATTCTCCCCCAGCCTGGGGACGGGAGCAGGGCTGGCAAGTTAAAGCAGGGATGGGAGTTGGGATGCTGGGGTTCTCTCCCACCTCTGGGAGGAAAGCAGGGGCTAGGGGCGCAGAGCAAGGGATCTGGAAGCCCGGACATCTGGGTTTCGGGGCTGGGAGGAGAGTGGGTTCAGGTGGGTTACAAAAGGGGGTGGGGTGGGAGCTCGGACATCTGGGTTCTTTCCCAGCCGAGTGGGGGCCAGGGGGTTAGAGCAGGGGGGGCTGGGAGCCAGGTCACCTGGGTTCTCTTCAACTCTGGGCAGGCAGTGGAGACTGTGATTGGGAGCCCGGACACCTGGGTTCCCCCACTCCATCTGCCCCCTTCCCCGTGTTGCTCCCTGTCCCCCCACAGGCCGAGAAGATCCTGAAGGAGCAGGAGCGCCTGGCCTACATCGACCCCGACCTGGCCCTCGAGGAGAAGAACAAGGGCAATGAGTGCTTCCAGAAAGGTGAGGGGCAGGGCTGTGGGGAGGTGGGGCTACATCCTTGGGGATGGGGCCATGTCCTTGCAGGGTGGGGCTTAGGGGTGGAACCCTGGCTGGGCAGCAGGGTTATGTCACTGGGGACAGAGGTGGGGGGGTGCTCCGGTGGTATAAGGGGGTGGAGCTGGGTCCTGG